GCCGCCGCCGCAGCAGCCGCGGCGGCAGCGGCCGCGGCCGCCAATATGTACTCGTCGGCTGGAGCTGCACCACCCGGCTCCTACGACTACTGCCCAAGATAATGAGGGCCGGCCGCTGCCTCCCCCGGGTCCCCGCAGGCGCCCCCGCATATTCCCGAGGGCCATCACGGTTCCAGTCCAGCCAGCCCCAAGGGCTGTCGACGAACAGCCCCCGCCCCGGGGGCCGCCGTGGGTTCCCGTTCCCGATCCTCGAAGCCTTCGGAGTCCTGCACTCTCCAGCCCCGAGGGCTGTCGAAGTATCCGGTTCCCCACCGAACCACTGCGGGGTCCGGCCCTGAGGGCCAGGGGATCCTCCCGCCAGTGCCAAAACGCCCGGTCGGCGGTCAGCGGCAGAAGGAAATGATATTTATTGTTCTCCGCGAGACCGCATTCCCCCAACCCCTGCCGAGCCGGCAGTTGCAGTGTAGACGACCTAAGAGCCTAGTCTGCAGGCGGTGTAGATACGTGTAGATATGTGTAGATACTGTAGATACCGCGCCGCGCCGACTTGATAAATGGTTTCGCCTCTTTTGGAAGCTGCTTGCGTGTCTATTCATTTGCACGGGGGAATTCGGAGAGAAAGAGTCCGGGTGTAAGAGGTTGCAGTTTCCAGTGGCCGAAGATCCGGTCCGGAGCGAAGTGGTTGCCTGGGCTGGGTCCTGCCCAGCCCCGCCCCGCCCCCTCGGGCACCTTCTTCCAGCCTCTGCGCCCCCTCCAAAGCCTCTTCCAAGCCACGCCTCTGTCCGTCCTTTCCCCGCCCCCTCGGGGCCCGGCCTCCGCCCCTCCTCCCTCTTCGACACTCCATCCCGCTTCGCGTCTCAGTTGTCCCCAGGTTGTGCGTACCAGGGCTCCGCCCCAGACCCAGGTGTGCATCCAGACCTTTACTTAAGGTCTCACTGCTCAGTGTCCCTTCTCTAGAACTAGAATCCACACGGAATGGATGCCTCTTCTATATTCACTTCCTGGGTTCTGGGAATAACCAGACCCCCGAGTCAGGGGGGCTGCTAATGGGAGAAACCCTGACTCTGACCACAGAAAGACAAAAACAGGCAGTTCTGCCATTCTAGCATTTCCCCTGACCTGGACCTCATCCAGCCTGTGTTTTCCCCTGTTTATTGACTTTATTCACTGTGAGTGTCCCCACGGAGTGACCTGGCCAGGGGGCACAATGACAGTGGTCATGAGTCATCTTGAAACCTGTGTGGAAAGCATTTTTCCCAGACCAGGTGGTGGGGGACCTCTCCCCATTAACTCAACACCAGGGATGGGGCCAGAGGAACCCTTTGATCCCGCCCTTCCTGAGTCCAGGCAGGAAAAGCTGACAGCCGGTCAACGTCAAGGCTGCTAACTTAGACACAGGATGAACGGGAAATGCAAGGGACTGAGGTTCTGTCTCCCATTCATCCATGTCTGTCTCAGTGTGTCTGTGCCCGTCACTGCCATGTGGCATTAGCAGCCTGGTGCCACCTCACTGAGGGTACTACAAGGCATTTCCCTATATCTGCCTGGGACTAAACGTGTTCTTTCCAGACACATTCACCCCCATGGCATGAAGTGACCGAAGGACATCAGGAACTGTACCCGTGAGGTGGGTCTAGAAAAGGAAGGTGTGTGTGGTCAAGGCTGCTGAAGGGTGAGCCCTGGAGTCAAAACCCCTGCCTCCCCACCACACACACACACACACACACACACACACAACTTTTCGAAAGGCCACTAGAGCAGGGTGTGAACCCTCCCACAGCATCTGCTGGAGTGGCCAGCAGGCTCCTTAGGCACAGCATCAGGACAGGGACACATCTTAAGGTAACTCTGGACACCCACCCTGGAACCCCATCCAGCCTCCTATTGTAGGTGTCTTTTTGGATGAGCCACATGCACCAGGGGGTTCCCATTGCTCCGGAAAGCCAGTTTCACATTTGCACCACAAATGCACCCCATGACCCTCCTTATCCTGGGAGATCTGCAGAACTGACACAGAATAAGGTTTGCCCTGCAATGCAAGTTTGTGGGTGCTGGGCATCCCTCCAGGGCCAACTGTGAGTGCCACACCTCTCTCTGTCACCAGTGGAATGTAGCCATTTTGCAAACTCTTAATACCTGGGCCTTTGTGTGTATGGTGGGGGCAGGAGGCACTAGGGGAGAGCAGTTGTTTTGCTTTGTTCACAATGGAAGTGAGGAACCCCTCTGAACTGAAGCTGGCGCTGGTGCCTGCAGGTGTGGGATGCTGTCCGGACGTGGCCTCGTGTATACTCACCCTCTGCCGCAGTCATCACCCACTTGAGACTGAAAGCCACTGCCAGTCAGGTAGCCATCAGCCATACAGAATTGTTTATATTTTAGTGACATAAAATAGAGGAAATGAAACATTCAGTTCCTCACTGTGTTCCACACACTGGATAGCATTTCTTGCTGGCCAGCCCACTGGACACTGCCCATGAAGGCTTGTCTGTGCGGGAGGCACAGGTTTGCTCATCTCCCCCACCTAGGGGTTTGCCTGAGACGACCTCCTGAACAGGATCCTAAAGATCGTCATGTAGGAGGATGTCCAGGCTGCTGTTGCTGCTCCATGGTGTATTTGTCAGGTTCAACTACTTGGATGTCTTAGGATGGACACTGGGACGCTCCAGTGCTTCAGAGGAGCTACTGTGTGCAGTACTCAGCACACCACTGGGCTGTTGTCATCTCCCTTTCCCCTAAGGGTGGAGGGATGGGCTAACTGAGGACACCCAGCTTCTGTTGGCTGTGTTTCTGAAAGGTCCTAGAGCCCTCTCCTAGTCATTCATTCCTTCTGGAAGAGCTTAGGGAACTCCTTACTGCAGGTGCTGTGGGACTATGGATGGCATGGGGCCGACAGTCCTGTGAGAGCTAACCTGGACTGTCTGCAAATTCCTCAGGACTTGACCTTGCCAGCAGCTTCCTTCCGTGGTCACCCTTCCCTTCCTTTCCTGACTCCCTGCTGTGGGCACCCTTTTCCTTCTCCAAGGCTTGCACAGTGCAGTCCCAACTTGCTTCCAGCTGGCCTTACCCCTCAGCTGTTGGATGTCCCTAGAGCCCCATTTTGCTCCCCTCACCTGACTCCTGTGGATAGGAAAAGAGCTTGGACCAGAAAGGACCACAGATTCTCCATTCCTTAAAGTCCTTCAGAAAACAGTGCACTTCCAGTGTGTGAAATAGGTTCTCTTGAGTATTAGAGGGTGGGGCCGGGTCACTCCCCTCATCACCCTTTTGGGTCCCACTCAAGAAATCTGGGGAGCACTTGGGTAACCCTGTCATGACAGAACAGACAGGGCTGCTGCAATGCCTTCCTCAGAGAGGAGCCTCTAACACTGACACATACAACTCCCCGGAAGGCTCGGGAACTCTGCACTTCCCTTCAGGTCAAAATGACTGGCATTTTGCAAGTGCCAGGCATCCTTGTAAGCTCTGGACCTGCCACCTTCTCTCCTACATTTCGGATACATATGAACTCTAAGGACAGCACAGAACACAGGGTATTGTTCTGAGCCACTGCTCGCTCAGGGGAGAACCAGGGTGGGACACCCCTTCTGCCCTGTGGAAGGGCTGTCACTGTATCTTTCTGAGAATAATCAAAGGAAAACACCTGTGACTAGTGAGCTGGATGAGATGTAGGGTATAAGCAGATGTGTGCAGAGACGTCTGGCAGCAAACCCCTTGGAGTAACTGGTTACAATCTCCCCCAGGGATGCATTTGGGGTATAGATACAGTGTTCTGAGGCTGCATCTTCTAGTGCCAGCTTGAGCCTAGAGTTGCAGAGTGCAGAGTGAGGGGTACTGATGGTGATGGGCTCTGGCCTCCCTTCCCTCCAGCTGCAGAAATTCAGTGTATGGGGCCCATATGTCAATGATGGTTGGACAAGTATGAGGACTTCCCGACCCCGGCCAGTTGCACTGGAGAATCCCACAGGCCACAACTACCCGGGGGTGATGGAGGGTGAATGGGGGCCAAGGAGCATCTTCTAGGGGGAAAGGGATGATGTCAGTGGTGGCAGGAATGAGGCACAACCTGGAGCTAGGAGAGAGGGCAAAGGTTTGGGCCTTGCAGGGCATGAGGGAGAGCACTCACCTATGTTCTACAGGCCCAGGTCTCTCCCCTTCACTCTTGGGGCTAAGCTCCACCCTGTGCCAGGAAGTGCTTCAAGAAAAGAGGAGACCCATGTGAGCAGTGGGTCCCTGCTGGGCTGGCTCCATAAAGTGAGAACCCCCCGACCCCTGTGTATGTCTGTCCTGACCTCCCTCACCCTCTGAGCCACCTCTGTGTCCTGACCTGGGCCCAGCTAGTAGACAGGAGCACAGCCCCCAGGCCAGCAAGGGGAGAATGGGGCTATTTCCTGGTCTACCTCACACATTTTCTGTATTTAAAAAAAAACACAAATCGTGCCTTTGATTCAATTCCCTTTCCTGCTTGTCGTGCTACTTCAAACCAGATGGGTTCAGAAGATGAAACCTTGGAGTCTTGGCATCTCTATTTAACTGCTGCCAGGTCTGTGTGTGGGAAACAGCAAAACCAAAGGTATTTTGTTAAAAGCAACCCACGTGGGGAAGAAGCTTAGGTTTTAATAGCAGTAATTAAATTATCTTCTTAATTATAAAGAGGAATGGCATTGTCAACATCCTTTATCTATCAGCTTTCCATGGCTAAAAGTAAGCACTTAATCCTCTCCTCCCAGTGGCCACCACCTGTGTATTCCGATCTGTTCTCAAAGCAACCTGGCCTGGCCCTGCCAAGCAGACCTCTGCCAGGCACATGGACTCCAGGATGCCTGGGTGTTCCTCATGTTTCAGGGTCCCTGCAGTTGAGACATGTCTCAGTGACAGGGGGCTCCTGGTGTAAGAAGAAGGCTTCCCCCTGGTGGCATCTGCATGATTGGTGTGCCTCACAGCGGAGGGGCTCTGGACTTGACGCCATCCTTTTTTCCACTACATTGTTCTGCGAGCAGTGTCAGGTGACAACGCTAAACCCTCCGCATGCTCTGGGTGACATTTTTGCAGCTTTGGGTTCTAGGTCTCAGGTCTCTGAGCAGGCCCACAGCAGCCATCCCTCCAGGGCCCATGCCCCTCCCTGACATGCCCTGTGCTCCCAGTCTCCTCACTTCTCTTTGTTACCTGAGCCTCCACTCCTTTATCTACATTTTCCCCCAGATCTCTGAACCCACACTTTATCCCAAAACATGTTTTCTAGATTCTTCCTCAGAAAGAAATTGTGGTCTCAGACAGAGACTCTAAGGCCTTGCTAGAAAGCAGTCATCTGCCTGCAGTCTCTCCAAGGCTGCCTGGCTGTGTGTGGACCCCTCTTTCCGGGCAGGGCACCTTCTAGGGAGCATAGCAGACACCTTCCTGAACCCCCTCTCATGATAACAGACAACTTGGACTTGCGTCACTGGCTGCAATACAAGTTTCTCGCCTGCATGGCCCAGGCCACTCCACCTGGCCAGCTCCAGGTTGAGGTTTGCAGGTGGAGCTCATTCCCATTCTCTTACCTAACTGCTGTCATTGTTCCTC